AGGGATATCTCTCTCTCTCTCTCTCTCTCTCTCACTGTCTCTCTATCCCTCTTTTTGGTAGGAGGGTAAAGTTTCCCCTTAATATGTAGTGTACTAATTTGAGGAAGCTCTTTACCGGGCATATTTTGGGTAAGGTTTGAGGGCAATGCTGATGAGAACAAAAAAGTTACCAGCTAAAATAAAGAATCTTTCAAAATAATAATAATTGCAACGAAATGAAGAAGAAAAAACCTTGGAGCATTGAGCATTTCTTGAAGCTTTCGGTTCATGTACCAGACCAATAAGCCCAAAAGCTGGATCAGCTAGGCAAGTACTTTAATGCAAAATTTTACTTATTGGTTTTTCCCTCTCGTCCTCACGATTTGTTTGAAGACTCCATGTGGTTTATAATAACTCCTAACAGATGGGTTTCAAGTTTAGATCCCAAAAAAGGAAAGACAACTGCATTCTGAATAAGTAGGTGTACATAAAATACAATATTGCCAGCCTTCAACTTCCAATTCAATCCTTCTCACATATAGATTCAACGTGTAAACATATAGGTGAAGGAAAGCAAGCAATAATGCAGTGGATTAAATGGAAGAGTAATTTTGTGTGGTGTGGTCCCAACTGGGGAAATGCATCTATAATCCCCCATTCCTTAGTGGTGTCATCGGATTGGTAGTTGTGGCACTTAAAAGCACCGAACAAAGACACTGTTAATTGACGAAAGATACATGAAAGAATTAACTTATAAAAAATAATTTCCTTTGTCAAATCAAAGCCTGTTTTTGTTCGCTAAAATCACCAAAAGGAAAACAAGTGGTGAGTTTTGGTAAGTCTCATTTAAGGCTCAACTAATTTCCATTACTACTGCTGAATCATTCTTTCTACCCGTCAATTTCACATCATCAGCGGTCCCCTTTGTTTTCTCCTCTATTTCGTATATGAAGGTTTTGTTTTCTCTCAATAGAATTGTACGGTTTCATCATGAAAAGGAAGGGTTAGAAGCAATAAGTCATTAATTATGATTTTGTTTTGTACAATAAGTCATTAGTTATAATTATTAAGTCACTCTGAAAGCAAGGCGCTCGAGCATACATTTATCACTGGAGAAAGCAGTTTAAATGAATATATACAGAGTTTTACATTTTGTATAGCTGCAAAGCTTGAAGCCTGCAGATCTTGGGGGGAAAAATGTCTTCTTTTTTTACTTGTTCTTCCCTCCAACTCACCCTCATCATCATCACCATCATGGTCTCTATTTTCTCGCCTTATGCTGAGACCGAGCAGCGTCTCTTCAAGAAGATCTATGCCTTTGGTGATTCATTCACCGACACCGGCAACACCAGGTCTATGAGTGGTCCAAAGGGTTTTGCTCATGTCTCAAATCCACCATATGGCATCACATTCTTTCACAGACCCACCAACAGGTACTCAGATGGGCGTTTGGTCATTGACTTCGTAGCTCAAGCACTGTCCTTATCCTTCTTGCCACCTTATCTTAACATCAAGGCAACTAATGGTTCTTCTTATGGTGTCAACTTTGCTGTTGCTGGCTCCACAGCAATCAACCATGCTTTCTTTGTCAAGAACAATCTCACTCTTGACATCACTCCTCAATCTATCCAGACTCAGCTTATTTGGTTCAATAAGTACCTTGAGAGGCAAGGCTGTGGGACTGAATGTAAATCAGAATTTGATGATGCTTTGATCTGGGTTGGCGAAATTGGTGTCAATGACTATGCTTACACTAGCTTTGAATCTTCTGTCTCAAGCGACACCATAAGGAAACTTTCCATCTACAGCTTTACTCACTTTATGCAGGTAAATTTTAATCTCTGTCGCTCTATTACAGGGCTAAGTTTTCATCGTACAAAACCATGAGTTGATAGAGAATGGTCTGCAGGGATTGCTGGATAAGGGTGCAAAGTATGTTGTAGTGCAAGGACTGCCAGCAACTGGGTGTTTGACACTGGCATTGGCAATGTCTCCTGACTATGACAGAGACGAGATAGGCTGCGTCAAGAGTGTGAACAACCAGAGCTACACTCATAATGTTGCTCTCCAATCTGCTTTGGATGATCTGAGAAGACAATATCCTCAGGCTGTCATCGTTTACGCAGACTACTGGAACGCGTACCGGATGGTGGTGGAGAATCCAGACAAGTACGGATTCAAGGAGGTATTCAAGGTTTGCTGTGGAACCGGGGAGCAGTCTTACAACTTTAATGTGTTTGATACATGTGGAACTCCTTCTTCAAGTTCTTGCCAAAATCCATTTCAGTATATAAACTGGGATGGAGTTCATCTAACAGAGGCAATGTATAAGGTTGTTGCTGACATGTTCCTTAATGGAAATCTCAGTCATCCTCCATTCAATTACTTGTTAGAAAGAAAACAGCATCAGGGTTGATCATCAGTATCAGATGTTTTCAGTAACAGCATATCTGTTATAATTATCTTGTTCAGATAAATATAATAAAACTTGAGCTAGTAGCTCTGTTAAAGCAATATCGATATGTTTTCTCCATCCCCCCGGCCCACCGCAAATGTAGCTTTGATGGTTGAGAAATCATGTGTGACTTTCCTTGTAGACCTTCAATAGTTATAATACAATTTCATACTGACGATACACAGAAACACAGAGCTCGATTCGAATCTACAACTTCATCCCTCAGCCCTAAATGCTTCTGTGCTTAATTTTGCCGTGACTCTCTTTCAACATGTTGAACATGAATAAGAAAAGTTAACTGAAAGTTTCAAGAGAATGTAATTCCTTCTTGGTGTGATGATAAAGTTTCCAGTTTTAGGTGAAGTATGGATCAATTACTGAACAACATATGTAGCTTTGGACTCTCCTTTTCCAGCTTCCCTCCAAAAACAAGAAACTTGTACCTCTGTCTAGCACGTGTAAGTATTTCCTAACTTTGTATTTTTCAAATTCATATATTTCTTGCTATCTTGTTATAGACTAATTTAATTGTCGGGTGACTTTTTATGTAACAAGAAAATTAATAAAAATAATTAATTTACTTGCAAAAAAGTTCTTTAGAAAATAAATAAACGGTAGGAATTAGCACAATATAGCTTACCTCACTGGCAATACAAAAAGTTCATTATGAACTGGAGAACATTAATCAAAATATTCAAATCCCATAATAATTATGTGTAAATATAGTTTGAGAAGATAATATTCAAATACCAGCACAATTATATATGGTCGCACCAAACAAAAAATTTTAAGAATATAAGCTGCTTCCCATTTTCCTTATTGATCTCTCAAACCCTATTCATTCAACCCATTAGTTAGCGGCGTCTATACATTCACAACCATACATTCAATCCCCAATTTCTTAATGACCAAGTATTCTTGAGTTTAGAAACAAGCTTGCACTTTATATGTGGAACAAGTCCAAAATTTGTTTAGAAATCTTTTGTTAACTTATTATAATAAGAAAATACAAATTTTATGAAGAGATAATAACACTGTGCTTGTCTTGGTGACTAATCTTCAACATATATGTTTACAGATAAAATGATTGTTAGAGTTGACAATTAAAATAGTTTTTAATAGAAGACACTCAAGATAAACAGATGTAGTTACTCAAAACTTTTATTCTCTAGATGCCCCACAATCCAAAAGCAGCAGGATGTAAGAGGCATATAATATAAGCCATACATTCTGCAATGAAATATATATATATATATATATAAGCTATACATTCATTTTCAATCTCCTATGTGTATTGGTCTCTAACTACATTGAGAATACACGTTCTTTGGGAAACGTAAAGACAATGAAACATGTAAACTGAATCTAGGTAGATGCTTTTACACGTGATGATGATTAGCCGATTCCACTCTGATTCTCTCTCCTTATTGGTCAGAGTTAGACAACGTATTCACAATTTATCAAGGAAAGAGCATCTGGGGTATCCTTCGGCAGTGCATTTATGTAAAGATAGAGCCGCAACACATCCTCCTTCAACACTGTCTGTGTTTCAACCACATCGCTACTGCAGGTGAGCACCCACAAATCCTCGGAGTTCACTCTTCTTAAACTTCCTCTGCAGAACGGGCAAGATTCTGACTTGTTGTTCCTGTAGACATACATAAGAAAATAAAAGAACAAAATTTTCATCATGTTAATCAACCGTGGAAAACCAAAATTTGGAAAAAGTTAGAACGATCCGAGCTCACATACCAGTCATGGAAGCATTTAATGCACATTTCATGACAACAGTTTGGCAGAACCATTTTGGTGCCAGGCTCCAAGCAAATCCCACATTCATCTTCACTTTCCAAATCTATATCTGGGAATCTTCGTTTATCATCTACTCTTTCCCCACCCATCCTACTTGTATTGTAACCTTCTCTGGCAATGTCAATGTCTGACAAATCAGCGTGAAGATGCTGAAGGGACGGTAATATAACAGCTGCAGTTTCACGTTTCATCAATGGGACTTTTAAGATAGGAATAGTACCATAAAGAAACCATATAAGCATGATATTGTTCCATAAAAAAGCTCCAGAATATATAAACAATATTATGTCTTTTAGTACAACGTGTTCATATGTTAAATCATGTATAGGATGGCCAATCAATCGTTGAAACACCAAGCAATATTACAGATTAACCTTGGATCTTAAGTGAACAAACAAAGGCAATGCTTACATTTATGTTCGGTATCCAACTATTAACAACAAAAACTTGAACTTTAGCCCACCTGCCTCTACTATTTATTTCTATTATGGTCCTTTGCACCAAATTCTACTGGGGTAAATGTAAGGATAAAGAACAAAACTGCCATTCCTTGTGCGAAATTAATCTTAATAGGAAGAAGCAGCTAGTGCGTAAAGAGTTAAGAATTTGATACCATATAAAAATACCAAAAGATGAGCTAGTAGAAAAGAATACAATCTATTATTTTTTTTTGGAGTCTAAATTCACTTATTTCATTAATTAGTTAATAATAGGCATATCATTATAGTATAATCTTATAATAAAAATAATACAGAAAAAATGCATAATCCAAGTCGAACCTCACAAGCTCGTTAAGGACAAAAAGCATCAACCATCCACTTACGAAATGACTAGTACAATCTGTTATTTATAGTAGCAACAACCCAGAGGAACAACAAAAGAGCAGAAAGAGTATCTACATACAGTAGAATTCTCTAATGGTTGCCTTCCTTGCACACGTAGATACGCTTGGCCTCCCATCCGGGTGCACCTAATCAGCCAAGACATCAAATTTTAGTATGTAAACAAATTTACTCTGAAAAGAAGAAACTAAAAAAATGACCTTTACCTTGTGAACAACAATGTGGAAAAGATTTAAATAAGTTGTGAATAGACATGAACATGAGGTATCAACCCAATGGAGCAAAAAGAGGAAGACGGATGCTAAGTGACTGTAAGCCAGCTTCATGTGAAGACTACTCTTGCCTCTTGGAAGAGAAGACGCCCTAAAAAGAGAATTCCAAAAACTTGATTAACCCAATTCAGTGAAAAAGACAGAAGTAAAGGTAGAATTTGAAAGCCTAACAGCTCAATCATGCATTGGAAGGCCTCACGGGGCAAGGCACGTCAGAAACTAAACAACAAAATTTTAAGAAGAAATCCTGGAAAGGAATGAGTAGAGAGAGAGAACTGACAGTGCATTGGCATACTGAACATGAGCCTCAAGAATCTTTAGGGAGTCGTGGAAAGAGGATTTTGCAATAAGTTCATAGTAATCCATATTTCCCTTTTTAAAACTCTAAACTGGTAGCTCTTGTACCTTCTTTTTGCTAGTACCAAAAACCCTAAACTAAATTCTAGAAAGAAAGAAAGAGCAGAACTGAAGAGATTATTTTTTTCAGTGGCCTCAACTGTAGTGCGCGTATTGAGAAGAAGTTTTTGTTGAAGATGAAGACAAAGAAGAGAAATGTATTTGCAGTGAAGAATGTGCGCTGGGAAAGGGGAAACACGTATCGTTGCCTGTTCAATTTTTCTTTTTTCAAATTTATTAATTTGCATTTCTTTTAATGAGATTAGAAAAGTCGCAACGACGTATATCTCACAAATGTTTTATTTATTTATTTTTTTATTAGAAAATTAATAAGTTTATTGAAACTGAATTTAATTTTGTTATTGCAGTCAAATTAATATATTATTAAATTAAAATTTAATTTATAAAGTGATAAATTTAATATTTTAAATAATAAATTTAATTTCTCTGGGGATCTTATTTTAATTCATCACTTTTTTTTTTTTTTATTTTGCTTTGTAGTAATCCCATTAAAGAGTTTGATTGAATTATTTGACTTTTCTAACTTTGTCTTTTGACCGCCTTAATTGCTTTGGTGGAGCAGTTGAATTTACTTTAAGAATGAAATGTTTTTTTTTTTTAAATTTTCAATTAAATATGTACTTTCTATATTTGTCTCAATGTATATAAGATTACTTTTTAGTAATATTTATAAAGAATCTAATCTAAATTATTATTTACAACTGTTTTTGTGACACAGAGAATACAAAATCATCTTTGACCAAAATGATCACAACCAGTTGCCTAATTAATTTTTATAAGTCAAAGTGGTAATTAGATTGGACTTGAATGGGGCAACTCCACCCATGACTTTCTTCTCTTTCTTTTTTTTTAAAAAAATTCATTTTGATTATTTCAAATTATAAAAATTTCATTACAATAAAATGTTTGTTGAAATTCATCTTAACTTTCCAAAGTGATGGAATATTATGGGTTAAGGTGTATGAACACTTTTCCACTAACAGTGATACTGGCCTCCATCAAAATTAAGAAACTTTTATCTCTAATAGCTAGAGTTTTATTTGTTTGTATTTCTTCATTTATGGTTATTTTGAGGCGAATACTTTATTCTCCTTAACTGTATTTTTCATTCTTCATTATCTCTCTACTAAAACTTCTTCTTTTATCAAAAAATTTAGATTTAAAAATGAATTTTTTAAAAATTTATGAAAATTTTTTATTAATGCAATTTCATTTAGAATAAAGTTGAAATAGATATAACTTTCTAAATAAATAAATGTAACTTTAAAATTAATTTATTCCAAATACATGTATAACATTAATAGTGAAGTTATAAACAAAAAAAAAAAAAGTTTGACAAACAATACAGCAGTTTAATAGTCGAAATTTTTATCTTATATTTGAAAATCACAAACTTAAATATTATTATTGAAAATGTAGAGGTCATCACTTTGTGGGTGTGTTATGGGTGAGTAGTAGCCGGCCAATAATATTTAATTTAATTAGATTGATAATTTAATTTATTAATGTATTAGTGATACTATAGTAATTATTATTGAAACAAACCAAACGTTCCATAACCCAACAAAAGGTACTCTCTTTTTACGAGTTTAGCCTCAATAGCCACTCCCTCATCCTTATGGTAACAACTCATGAAACTCTTCTTCGTAGAGGCACCAAATACATACCAAACATTGTTATCAATTTCACCTTAAACCTTTAGGATGTATGACAATATAAGAATAAATATGAGTGTCTCTTTCTTTACAAAACACATAACACATAAATCTAGAGACAACTCGATAAGGTTAGTGGGCTTGGAGCATCTCGTTTGTGTTAAGCTTCTAATGAATGACAGTTCATGAGAAACCTTGACTTTTGAAGGAATAAAAGATTTTAATACATATTGGCCTTGTAAGACATGTTACTGTTTGCTTTCAAAATGAGGTATTCAAAAAGAGATTTATATATATATATATATATATATATATATCTATGTCTGAAAATTTTAAGATTCATAATTTGGTATAAAGTTAGATAGACAGTTGAATAGGTTTTAAGAGATGTAAAAAGTTAATTATTTTAAAAGTATCCCTATATAAAAGATTAAGGTTGAGGTAAAAATTTCAGTTTATATTATACTCTGTGTTTAAAATGAAATTGAGATTGTGGTGTCATATTCTATAGATAAGTTAAATAGATGAGAATTTAGTGACTAACGGTTGATCCTCACCCAAATATCCTCCCAAAATTCGACTCTACTACTATCTCCCAATCAGATGTGGATAAGGTGGACATACGAGGTATAAGCTTGGGATATGGTTTTTCAATGAATTCAGTAAGAGTTAGTTATACAAATAATAACATTCTACCCATTCCTTAAATGCTCATAGATGCTCTTGATCCTTTTGTGCCACAAAGAGTTTGGTTATTAAGGAAGGTACTATGGCCACTTAATCAATAATTATAGGTTTTTGGATATGAGATTTCCCAAGCCTAATGCCTTAAAGCTACTTGTTAAGCAATATGTCTTCCAATTCACCAAGTGATCCCCCTTACCTTCCCTTACCTTGATCTATAAAATTTTTTTTATGTAGTTTTTTATTCTCCCAGCCATGCCTACTAGAATTCTAAAAAGAATGATAAAAAATAAAAGAAAGTACTAGAAAGACATTCCTAAATTAGGGTTGCCTTCCCCCCCCAAGTGAAAAGAGTTTCTCCTTCTAACTCTCTATATACCTAACCACTTTTAATTCATCTCTTTTTTAAAATACACGATTGTTAGGTTTTCTCATAAAGGAACTCCAAAATAAGTAATGGGTCAATCTAGTCTATTAGGCGAAACATCTTATATAATCGCTAAATTTATATTTTTAAATATATTTTCTTTTTTCTATCGATATCTATGAGGGATTTAACCCCTACGAAATCTATTTTTATTTTAGGTATTAGCTTACTTTTCTTTATAATTCTAACTCTGCGGAAACATCAGCACATGTCCTGGGGGTTTGATAAGTCTAAATTTATATTTCCAAGTATCATTTCTACCTTCATTACCATCCAACTTTGGTGGACTTGATAAGTAACAATAGATGTATGTTTTATGGTATCTATTTTAAATACTTAAGAGTATTTATTGCAAACATATTTTAAGTAATTTTTTTAGTTTAATCACTAAAGAATGTTAACATTTTTTTTTCTTTACAGCCCCATTTTGTTTTTGTTTTCTCTTTTCTTTCCCATCCATACACTTGTCAAACTAATTTTATAAAAACATAGTGTTAAATGATGAGGAGAGGCAGAAAAGCATAATTGTTGATTAGTTGGTTTTCTCTTGTTGAAAATGAAAAATAGTAGCAAGCTTTACGTGTCTTAAGAACAAGATCTATAAGAAGCCTCATCTTCCAAATGAACTAAAATTGCAACTAAATTAAAAAAAATTAAAAAAAAAAAAAACAATGCATGCAAAAGCAGCCTTGAAAGTGCTAGCTGATGATGATCAGAGCCTCTTTCATGTCCTTTCATGGCAGCTTAAGCATCCAGTGTCTTACATGCTAAAAAGACAAACATACATATCATATATATATATATATATAACATATCTAACTCCTATCCTAGTCTTAGCTAACTATCATGAACCATGCATCAAATACATATCATATAATTTCTACAGCGCTCGTGGCAGCAGACACTTGATTTTGCTCTTTGGCCACCATTTTTCTCGTCTTGTTTACCCATTTCATGAACCCCACTGCATATCCATATAAGCTCAGAGCAATATAAAGCCCAATCCCACCAATTATCCCATTTGCTATGGAGTATGTAAGTGGCATAAGAAGCATTGTAACAAAAGCAGGCACTGCCTCTTTAATGTTTTCCCACTTAATATCCTTCACCACTCTCATCATCATCACCCCAACCATCACCAGTGAAGGACCAATCGCCCATGGAGGTACACTGCTAAACAGAGGTGTCAAGAACAGAGATATGAAGAAGTATAAACCAATAATCACAGCCGTTAATCCTGTTCTCCCACCTTCTCTGATCCCAGCAGATGATTCCACAAAAGTTGCTATTGGAGAAACTCCCAATGCTGACCCCACTATTGTGGACCCAGCATCTACCATGTAAGCCAAGTACTCTCCTTCGAAGCTACCTTGATCATCCACGAACCCTCCAATCTCTGCCATGGTGTAAAGCGTTCCTGTGGTTGCAAGCACATCTACATATAAAAGTGTGGCTAAAGCAATCCAGACTTCACCTGTGTTGAAATGGGTAAAGCTGATGGCTCCTGCTGTGGATCCAATCTTGTGGAAATCCACCACCTTTTTGAAATACTTGTAGTTAGTGTCACCCACTGGTGTGTTGGGAAAATATGTGACTGGTGTGCCTCTAATCCATGAAATTAAAGTGACAAACACAATGCCGTATATCATGCTACCCTTGATCTCCTTCATGAGCCCAAAACATGTGATCAGAAAACCCACTAAGCCCAGCCAGAATGTTGGGCTTCTCATTTTGCCGCTCAGGCACTCGCCAGTGACCGGGTTGGTCTCAGCGCAAGCCGTGACAGTCAACAATGTCGATGGGTCTGGCCCGATAAGACCAAGTCCCTGGTGAATTTGCAGGCCAACAAATGCAATGAACAAACCTATGCCGGCGGCGCAAGCGAGTCTTACAGGTTGGGGAATAAGTCTAGCTAACTTTGCGCGGAGCCCAAAAGCAGCTATTGCAAGAAAAGCACAGCCCTGAACCAAGACTACAGCCATGGCGGTTTTGAAGGACATGGGTCCAGACCCATGAAAACCCACTAAGTTGTAGGCTAAGTAAGCGTTGGGACCCATACCCGGAGCCAGTCCCAAAGGCAGGTTGGCTAAAATCCCCATGGCAAATGACCCGATCATGGCTGATAAAACAGTACCCACAATGAGATCACTCTTGGTTTTTGCAAGGCAACTCTCGTAACCGGCATTAGGCTTCAAAATGCAATCTGGGTTGGCCGGCTCGGAGCAGTCGCGAACAGAGCAGGTACCACCGGAGTCGGCGAGGATGGTAGCATTGACGGTGATGATATAGGCCATGGTGAGGAAAGTTGCAGTAGCAGCGCGTAATTCTCGAGTGAAACAGGTCTTCCTTTCATCTAACTTGAAGTATCTACCAAGTAGGCTCTTTGAAATGGCGTCGTTAAGGGCTTTCGCCATGGTTGAGCATGAAGTTGATAGCTTTTTACAGAACCCAGTTCCCACACAAAGTTCCCCCGCTCCCATATCTGGTTTTGATCTCTCTATAACGTTCGATAAGTTTGTATTCAATGTATGGAGGAGTTGAATTAGAGTAGCCAGGTGGATTTGAGAGAATAAATGCGAATCGTGAGGAGAGATTTAAGGGAACGCCAAACGGGTTTGTTTTGCTCGGTGAGGAAGGTTGATTAATATGTGCTGCACTACTGGCTTGGCATTATAACTGCACGTTCTTGCCTTTTTGTTAGTATATAATACCAATTTGACTTTTTTGCTAGTTAAATAGTAAAAATAAAAAATAAAGTTACATTAATTTACAGGAAGGTAATAATTCACTTTTAAAACTTTTTATTAAAGAATACTTACTTGGACAATGTATGTGTCAGCTTGAGAATAAATGAAAAATATATATACATATATGAAGATAGAGGGGACATATACATACACACACACACACACACACACACACATACATAGCATATATCAATCTTAAAATGGATTAATTAAATCTGATCTGATCCGTAGTATCTAATTGGATCCACTGGATATATTCAAGCTTATTATAATTACAACACACAACCATAAATGTTTATATATATATATATATATATATATCATGAATAGTATATTTTATTATAATTTTAATTAATTTCAGTTAAAAGAATCTCACAGTAATAAAATATATTTTTTTATTTCATTAAAATTTATTTAATTTATAGTTTTTACTAATATATTAATAAAAGACAATAAATTAGTAAGCTTAAAAGAAGATGTTGGCTGTTCCTTAAAATTTTGAACACATAAAAAAGTGAACCCCACCCACCCACCCACATATATTGCCAAACTCAATATATATAGATTGAAAGTTCCAAATTCAAAATAAATTATTTATCTGGTGGAATTGATATTAGACTGTAGTGGGGTCCTTATAGATTATGATCAACCAACAAATTTTACGGGACCAATATAAAATCTCTCTAAAACGAAATATTAGTTGTTGAGTTAATTTCTAAATTTATGTAAAAATTTGTTTGCCTAAACAATTCTTACTCAAATCAAATTGATAAAAATTAAACTTATATGAAATTTTATGTATTATTTTTTTAATAAATTATATATATATATATATGAATTCAAATTTTATACTTTGCAAATAAAATTAACACAAATTTCACCATCATCATGTATTAAAAAAATAAAATAATAATAATATTTTTCCCAAAAAAAAAAAAAAAAAGAGAGAGATATATATATAATAATGATGCAAGGAATTATAGGCTCACATGCGTTTTGATCCGTTCAAAAACTTTTAATTTCCTCGTTCCTTGCAATATTCCATCTTCGCAATTTCTTTTTATTTCTCATTAGGTATCAGCTCTGACTCCCTCGTAGCAAAGGCTTTATAAACTATATATTTCTCAATTTTTAATTTATATATTATAGTACTTTTAATTTTTATTTTATTTTGTGGGAACTAAACAATACTGTATTACAACATGGTACATAATGAGAAATACATTTTAATCTAATTCCAAGGAAAAACAAAAGTTGACGAGTCTCTGTTAATAATAAGCAAATCAATACTTTTTTTTTATTTTATTTTATTTAGGTGTATCACGTTTGAAAACAACATACAGAAATATTATAAAAGATCTTAGGAGTTGCATGCGGAAGGTGTTTGTAATATTTTTATGCATGTTGAGACCCTAAACAAAATGTCAATAAAATAAACAGCTTTTGATTGTTTTTGGTGAAGAAGCAGACGTTTGATTTTGGCATCACTGAAGACTCGCAGAGCGCATTGGTAATAACTTACTGCGTCTATCTCTATATATATTGGGGGGTGGGGGAGGGGGGACAATTGGTTTTTTGAACCAAAAATTTCAAATCCACAAATATTTATGATAAGGTAGGTGTCAATTTTGAGGTGGCCTACCCCAAATATTAAAAATGAACCATGTTTTAGTTACAAATTAACAGAAATTAATAAAATCAAATAAAAAATCAATATAACTCATCTAATTTGTAAATTTAGTTTCTCCGTTTTTCAGACCACTCAAACGAAAATCAATTTTTAATTTTTGAATCACTATAGATATATCTCTCTCTCTCTCTCTCTTTCTTAAGAACAAATTACTGTTCTTTTGTACATGTAAATTATTATTTTTCAAAACTCAAACTTTAGCCCTTAACTTTTTATTTATTTATTTATTTTGTAAATCACTACTATTATAATAATTTAAATCATATATTATTTTAGTATGACATAAACAATATCAATTATACAATTTTTTAAATATTTTAAACTCACGAAAGAATATGTATTGCAAGGTCGGAATTCAATAGAACGCTGTGTGGGAATAAAATGTTAAAAGTTAAAAAGGACCGTTTCATATAAACATTAATACTATTCTTAGAAGTAATAATTTTATCGACTTAATCTTTAACATTATTTATTTAAATTAATTATTTATTACCTACAAAAATTCTGTTAGATTAATTAATTAATTTATCACATAAATTTGATTTAGAAAAAAAAATTATCACTGAAAAAACTACAACATTATTCTAACACAGCTAAAATTTGTTCTTTAACAAGTGGTAGTACCTATTTCTATTCTCATGATCCGACAGCCAAACAAAAAAAAAAAAAAAACAAAGATTCTCTACAGTTACAGTATTAGTATATGCATGTGTTATTTTAAAAAAGATTGTTAATAAAAACATTTTAAATATAAAAACTGGAACCGTACAAACAAAAAATAATTTCATTTTATAATTAGATAAACAAATACGTGAACTACCGGCACCGAATTTTATAGTTAGTTTCTAATTCACTTTGGGTCCAAGTTCAAGTTTTGGACCAACCTTACATCAAGCCCAGAAAAATAAAAAAGAGAAATGAGAAAGAGTGTTGCCTAGGCAATTTGACAAATACTACACGAGGCAATTTTTATGGTACGGTCGTAAGCTGCACTTTGCTCACACCTAAATCTGTAATGGCCTGTGAGAGTACAAACAAATTCTTTGACCTATTACGGATCTATTATCACGGGTAATGGTCAGATCAAGAACAGAGTCGAGACAACCTAATACACTATGTTTGTATAAATTTTAATAATAATTTATTAATGTATAATAATAACATTATTTATATATTAAAAACAAACAATTGTAATTAAAATTATTTTAATAAATAAAAAATTAAAATGTATTTAAAATAATCACATGAGTTAATTTATTAATTAATATTATTTAAAAAATTAACCATCGATAAAATTTTATTTATGAAAATAAAAATAAAATTAAAATTAAATATATTACTTGAGAGCATAAAAGATCACATATCACCGGAGATTTATCGTTCAGATACAGTTTGTATCCCACCTTTTGATTTTGATTGATCAACTTTCCAGTGTTGGTTGTCCTCAAACAATATATAGGAACACAGCTCCTTTAAACCAAAACGCACCGTATTGAAGTTCTGTTAGAATTAATTGCGTACATCCGGCGCTAGGGGTACCTAAAAAGTTACCGTTAGAGCGCGCTCCCTCTCTGTATTCGTTTTCCTATCCAGGAAGGTGAGATCGGATCGATTGGTTTGCACGAAACAGGTCATCTCCGAGTAGGAATAGGAAATATTCAGTATATATCACATTATAACTCACTTCATGTCAGGTCATAAGGAGACTCTCTCTCTGTTGTTACTCATCATCCAAAAAGAAAAAGAAAAAAAAAAACTCAATTCAAGTCCTTGTTCAAAGAGAAACAACGATGACCAATCGGCTTACTCGCAAAGATCTGGACAGATTGGACAATGGTTCGCTCCAGAGAAAGAAGGCAGAAATTGAGGGTTTCGTGGAAAAGGAAGAAAAAGAGTTGGTGAACGACTTGCTCACTGAACGAATTGTCAATGAATTCATCACGATAATAAACAAGAAACCCGTTGCAGTGACAGTAGATGATCCATCTCCAGCCGTGAAGACTAATTTTTCTTTCTTTGAAAATATACCAAAGAAAAAGCGAGGCAGCAGAGTACACAACTCGGTTGCCGTTGCCGTTTCCTTCCCAGTCCTCGATACAGAGTCTGAAAAAAACATCAATAAGCTCGAAGAATCGGGTCGAAAACTAGAGAAGGAAAAAAATGAGGCTGAACTGAAAGTTTCCTGTCTGAAACGGCGTTTTGAGTCAGATGAAGGAGATGGAAAAAGGGCTAAGATCCGCAAGAATCCTAAACCGGACTCATCGGAGATACCAACGGAATTGCCTGAACCATTTAAGAGTCGTGTACTGGAGATGGGTGGTAGAGATATCAAATTTGTTATGCGGAAGACGATCTTCAAGTCGGATTTGCTAAGGTCGCAGAATCGGCTTTTGATACCAGCGGGTGAAGTGAAGAGCCAGTTCCTTTTTCCAGAGGAGGAGATGAAGTTGGCTTCCAAAGAAAGCATAGAAGTTACTCTAATAGAGCCTTGTGTTGACGCCACTTGTACATTGCCTTTGAAGAGGTGGCATATGAATAACATGCCCTATGCACTGATAGGCAACTGGTTTAGCGTAACCCAAAGGAACAGTGAATCACTGGGAGTTGGTAATGAAGTACAACTATGGGCATTCAGACACCAGCATTCAAGTCTTGGTATGGTTTTGGTCCCTGTTCCACAACAAGGACAAGTTACAAATCAATCTTCTGATGGGGCCTCATCTTCTCGTGCTCATTCTACTTTCAACCAATCACAAGAGCATTAGGATTCTCTACAATCTAGGCTTTCTTTTTTTTTTTTTTTTTTTTAAGTTCATCCCATTTAGGTTAATACCTACCAATCGTTGACCATTTATGTAATATATCTTTTGGTCAACAAATATCTTGATCTTGACTTCCACTGCTATGGATGGTTAGCATATTCCCTTTTTGTAACAATGATCTCAAATAATGGGAAAAATCAGTTAGCATATTTCGATGTTATAATGTCTATTTTTTCCAATCTTTTTAATTGTCTATTAACCTTGCATAAATCAAATGGCTCAAATCCAACCGCAAAAACCCACTCCAAATTTAGGCATGTAAAAGATAGCTGAATGACACTTGTCTATTCCAATATTTGTGGAAGCTGACAGAGAATGCATTAAAGAAAATAGAACGGCTGGACTAACTCTGTTTCTGCCCTTATCTTGGTACTTAAAAGTGCCCGCAAAGGATTCAGACAACTAGAATCATATATGTTTTCCAATTCAATTTAAACTCCTTGTACAAGTATGATTTCCTGACATATATTGTATGATATTCGTACCTACAAAACACCACATATTCTCTCATGTATAGTAGCCAAATAAACTCACCAAAAAATATTTCCCAAAATTAATTCTCTTACACATCTAGATTTCAGTCTACCCTTCATCCATTTTACCTCTGTGTTTAGATTTTGAATTCTTACATTGTATGAAAGCGGAGGAAGTAGACTTGGACAAGGAAGATTATTTGGTAGGCACCTATCAAATTTTGGCATTTGGATCATTAGTCTAGATGTAGTTAAATTGTTCGTGCTCTCATATATTTGCATGCATTTAGGCACACAACATCAAGTCATTCTCGGAAACTTTTCATCAAAATTTTTAATGTGGCTGGCTCTTTGCCAAGAATCAATAATGTTTTAAGTTGTTCATAAACAGTAACCAAATGTGCGGTAGACCAATTAGATAATGAGCAATGAAATGCAGTATTCATTTTTTCTATTCATTATAAAACTTATCATACTAAATGAAAATTTTAAATAATCAACCGGTGAAATTTTGAATGCTCGTGTTAAATTTAAAAGTCCCCTTTAATTAAAATTCATAACTTGAATCAACACTTACAAAGCAAATTCCAGCCCCTATAGGCTAAAATGAAGGATGCAGAAGCAGCAGCAACGGCAGATTGAGAAGGCCACTCACAATTTATTCTGAAATCCACCAGCACCGAAAGACTTTCCAGTGAAACCTGAAATCCAGCACCAAGAAATATTTCAGAATGCACAGAACACCTCAATAATAAACTATTTGGCGGAAACTTTGATCTTCTTATTCTGTTCGTAACCTCGTAAAATTTACCTTCAGATCCCCGATTTCTCACATCGTCATCTCTAGATCCTGCACTAAATCTCAGGCATCCATGAAAAACTTTAGTTGCAGAATTGGAAGGAAGTAGAAATAATAGTTAAAAGAATGGATGAATCTTCTAACCTTGTCTTCCACGTTGGTAGTGGCTTTAAGGTGATGATTTTTGCTTCAGATGTAAAGTCAGTAGCCCTGCTTTATCACAAACAGTTACCATTCGTGATATGGTTTCGCTTTCCACATGCTCCATTTTCGTCTCTCTGAAATCAGTACCGCTGCTTTTTGAATTCTAGCGAAAAGAAGAGGGAAAGAAACCTAAGTAACCGACTCTTAATGAAAAAATTAGTGGATGTGTGAACCACCTATTGAATGTTGACACGTGGATATTTACACCAAGTCAACACTGCCGGGTAGAGCCATCCGGGAGGCCGCCAAATTTGATTTTTTTTTTTTTACTTTAATTTATGTCTGCATATTTTCTATTTCTTGGTATCATTTTTCTAAGAAATAAAGCTGATAATTATTCTAACGTGTGAATTTTTATAATTAATAAAGTAGATAAAAAGTAATAAATCTGAAATAAATATAAAATTTGTGCAACTTCATTGATATATTTAACCAAGTTTACTTTTCTCTTTTTAAAATAATATATACTTATAAGAGAGTAAATGCAAATAAAGATACAATAATAATATCTAAAGGGGAAAATATTTTATAACATGTATCTTAAAAACATTATTCTTTTTTTTCTTTTGCTAAAATTTAAAATGTGTAGGAAAAACATTAGTAAGGTCTTTGTATGAAAAAGATTCATGATATTTTTGGGGGTCAGGTCTGATCAGTAGAAAAGTAAAATCACACCAGACATACAAAACTTGGAAATCAATAGATGTTGTTCTACAAAATTCCAAAATAGAAATACATGACAATGAGGGCAATGGCAAGAATAACAAATGCAAGCTCACTCCAATAAATTACTTATCAGTAGTTAGAAAATTTTTACACTAATCCCACTAGATAAGATTACAAAATTGTGTTGCACCACCAGATGAGTCCTATATCACACAAGATATTTAACCATGTACGGCCCTTCAAGCCCATAACCCAATTTCCTATAGTAATGCCGAGTTCCGACACCAGAAATAACAGCTATCTTTTCAGATCTATGCTCTCTGCAAGCAATCCGCTCTGCTTCCTCCATCAAAAGTGTACCATAGCCCTGTGAAATTGTCAAGAAAGGACACAAAAAAAGTGTTGTATGTCAATTCCGATTCCTCGGTGCTCACCCTAAGAGGAAGTTCACAGAGATTTCCATGTTCAAAAATTTGAAGCCATCAATCTTATATTCTAAAGGGCATTCACCATAATATAGTAATATAAAGAGTTGGCTCTGGTTCCCTCTGGGTAACCACATTTACTGTTAGAAGTATCATTATATTACCTGGTGCTGTAATTTGTCGGCATCTCGGCCATGAACAGGAACTGCAGTTCCGTACACGTGGAGTTCACGGACAATTGAACACTTCCCCATAAGTTCTGGGCAAGTAACATTTCGGCCACATTTCCGCAAGCGCAGCAAACCAACCAGAATATCCTGCATCCAAATAATTAAAGTACTGTGAATTTTATGTTCGGTTACAACATGAACTTTTCAGACGAAATTAAAAAACCATTTAATAATGTACTTCTGGATATATATTTGCAAACGGCTACAGAAAGGCCTACTAAATATACACGTGGAAAAAGTGGCGTAAAATTCGTAACTTACGACAGGTTAAAACATATAGACACCTGTACTGTACATAACATGACCCAGGAACACACAAAAAGATAAAACATTCCAAAAATACCTGGCGTATGTCTTCATATGAAAGAAATGTCTCCCAGCCCTCGTTTGCTGTATAATCACGACGTATAAGCTCAACTTCTTCCGGCTTAATTTTGTGATGAATGTCCTGCACCAAGAAGAGACATGCTGCTAGAACTTCAAAGTATTTCAATCACAGCATGAGACTCGATAAGCATTTTCCTTACCTGAATTCCAGCTTCCCGTGTTCGAACATCACGGCATTTCAAACCCAAATCGTCCATCCGTGCCAAAGCTAGCTCACGAAGGTTTCCTTTCTCAACTCCTGAAGTAACCAGAGGCATGGGAATATCCCGTTGAACTCTATAAACACGTGTCCAAGGAGGTACCATGGCTAAGATCCTTGCCACAATGTCCACAAGTTGCTCAGGTGGGTAATTTCTATATCTGCAAATGGAACTAAGAATGAATGCAAATTTCTTTCCAAACATGCAATGCTGGATTATGCAAAGTTACAAGCAGTTACTGGTCTCAAATCTATGCTATCTAATTTTAATTAAAATTATATTAATTACAATACATTTTCTTTAAAAGGAAATTAAAAAATACCTGCCAGTTTTCCAAAGCTCATAAAGCCCAGTTCCGCGGATGACAAGTGTGGGATAAATTTTAAGTCCATCTGCTCTAAATAATGGGCTCTCAAAAAATTCTTGAAAACTTTCCAAGTCCCTTTCGACCCCAACATTAGGAAGATCAGGCATCATATGAGCAACAACCTACACAAAAACCATTAGAATTATTAAACTGCGTGTACAAGAAGCAAGCCTGATCTCACAATAAAATGAGAGAGAATATTTGATGGATGCAACTACTCTTAATAAAAATTGCAGTTGGGTAGAAACATTGTCAGGAAGCATATAATATATAAGTGTCTTCAACTAATATTTTATCAGGGAAGTTATACAGCAAACACCAAGTAGAGTTCAAACAAATTTGTACAAAATTGAGAGAAACAGTGCATCATCCCAGAAAAAGCTTCTTACTTCTCTAAAGTTTTCTCAAGTATTTCCTTTACAAAATATGGATGTTTGTATTATTTGGCAAAGAAAAGGGTTATGGGCAATGATTTTCCTTTTAGGCAAATTTGGAGGGTTATCGCGTCACCCTTGGGATGCAGTTAGAGGATGCATTCTTACACCGGACAAGCTGACTAGGAGGGGGAGGATTTTGGTGA